TATGATATTAAAATAAGAAAGTGGCGAAAAATATTTATATGTTGAGGTGTTCAATATGAATAGTGAATGATTTATGAAGAAATTGGTAGAAATGTTTCTGTTCTATTATGTGTTACACAAGTTGTTTGCCAAATCTGTACAAGAGTTTCTGATTAAGACATATATTTTCAACACAAGCTTGTAGATAACACATCATTTTTAACCTGATGACAAGCCCTTGACAATAGACGATGTCAAAATCATCTTGAAATATTACCCCGGCCAAAGAAAACGATTTTCTTTTTAGTTAGCGAACAACCCTCTTTAATCTCTTCAGTAGCAACTATCAGCCTTTTCCGAACACTTCAATTCTATATTGGAACAATAGAACACTTCAATTCTATATTGGAACAATACAGGTTTAATAGAATTATCCCGGTATCTGGGATATGGATGATAGAATGAGTCGTTTATCTTATCTCCTACCTGGGTATTGAAGGTAAGTTGTTTGATCTCGACAGGTAAAAATCAGAGTAACATGAAATGGACATAGATATGTTTAATTGATTGAAGTGGCTACCTGGGGGAAAAGGACAGTATTATTATTTATAGGTTTTATTGTGTTGATGGACAGAAACAGGACAACATATTGTGTTATTTAGTGCATTAGGATATTCTTGTATAATGGATGTACTTTAAAATTTGTGCAGATTTTTTTCTTATTATATGTAAGTGTTTTTCTATGTAATTAGTTTGTTCAACTTACAAGAATACATTCTTTTACAAATCTTTTTATACTAGCCTAATTTATAACATGTAACAAAAGTACACAAAACATAACAAATTTTAGGTCGAAAAATATAATCAAGACTTAAATTTAAGACCACTTTTCAGATAATTTGTTAAGAAGAATCAAGGCAATGTAATTTTTTTCTTTTTCTTTTCTTTACTTTTACTGTTCAAGACACATATTTTCAGTTTAATACTTTAAAAGTTATGATAAACAAGAATTTTTTTTGTATAATTGAAAAAAAAATCAGACTTAAATATAAAACTTGTTTTTATATTAATGTTTCTAATCTATAGCTGATAGTTTGTATTCTAATGAAATGGAAAAAAAACATTAACTAATTAATTTAAAAAGACAGACTAAAATAGAAAACTTGTACACATATCCCTGAAATTGTATGCTAATGAAATGAAAAAAAATAGGAACTGCATTTGTTTGATACATTTCAAAGTTTAAATTTCTTGAACAGAGAAACATTGAAATTTCACAATATCCTAGTAGAATCTAAGTTCTTTTAGCTTAACCGGTAATGTTTGTCTCTCTAATCAGAAATTGTCTTGTTTGTGTTTATAGCAAACAAAAAATGACCAGCAAAAGTTGACACTCGAAACAGTAAATATCAATTATATACAAGTGCTGACCAATCCGTAATTATATAAGTATCAATTAGATCCATTGGGTCATTTAATTTGAGTGTCAAAACACGGTACTTCACTTACCAGGAGGTACCCACTTGTCGTCTCTAGGTTTGCTTTCTCTGTCAAGTTTTCGTTAGAGTTTATTTATTTCCCTGGTCAGTTGTTTGCTCATTAAGACAATATAAACAGAAAATAGATTCCGAGCTAATATTTAAATTGGAAAGTATAGCGCAAGATTAAATATAATAGTGTCCTACGAGGTGGGCACTGGGTATTTAAAGTTTGTTTGACTGTCGTGTTTGAAGATGATAGCTTTTCTAATCCAAAAACTAAGATATCAGTTTTGTAAACATGGTCAATCATTGTAGCTTTTGTGTTTGAAGAATTAAATTTTTTCCTGACAGGAAATTTCTAAACAATATAAATATGACCTCTTCTTGACCAACAATGTGATAGAAATAACGTGAATTTATCAAAAAAAGATATACTTTTACATTTTCAACACATCAATGCTATAAGATTATTAAATGGACCAACAAGTTTTTAAGGTAAGGCTTGGATTTGAAACTTTCCATTCATTCTTAATTTGAATTTGTAAGATAAATTGAAATTTTCAACTAGAACTTATAATGATCACTATTATTTGATTGAACTTAACAATTTGTCAAAATATTTGAATTATGCTTAGCTGAAAATGATCATATTAGAACAGACTTTGAAACATAGCTATATTTTAAAGAATTGATGAGTTCTAAGATTTAACATGCTATCAAATATAGATATTATTTATTTTTGAGAAATTTTATAATGAATTCTTCACAATTTGCAAAATACTAAAAAAAACATTGCAATAATCTCTTAATTTTCAGTATTAAAATTTTAAGGAGGAAATAAAAGGATATCATTTATTGTAATAAGGAGGAAGACAGACAGATTAATAGGAATTATAAGTCATTATGGCCAATTTGGATTATCCTAATCCATAATACTATCTTAATGATAAACATCTTGACATGGGATTAAAAAAAACAACAAATGTCAATGTGTAAATAATTTTTGTTTTTCACACTCTTTAAGGAAATGTTTCACACCATGCTGAGTGTAGTGTGAAAATCAAATTGTAATAGGCTTGGATCAAACTGTTCGGGTTTCAAGAAAAAAAGTTCTTTATTCTGATCTGTTGGAATATAAGTTATAACTAATCTTGTTGTGTATGGGTATGAGGCAGCATTCTTGGACAAATTTCAGAAAGGTAGCATTTCACTCATATAGATTTCAAGGGACTGATTTATATGAATTTGGGAAACAGATAAGATTTATAAATTGGAATTTAAAGTTGAATTGTGTGGAAGGTGAATAAAACTTTCTTTCTTCTTTGTCTTTTTTAATGGAAAGAAATTAGATATAAAATTGAAAGAGCATCATGCTCAATTTATTATTATAACAAGAAATATTTTGCCATGGCTTGAAATGTAATAATTGTATAGGTTTTCAAATACCAAATATAATGCAGTCAGCAACTCAACAACTATGATAGACACAAAAATAGACAAAAAATTGAAAGGCCATATATTACTAAGAGTCTTCTCTGATTAATGCCATAATGCAACATAATTTGCAAAGAAAAAGAAAAATGCACCGTTTTGCTTTAAAGTGACCTTTAGTAGTGATTGTGTCGTTAGGTTGCTGTCTCAGTTTGTCCTATACCAACATCTACTTGGTTATAGAACATGAATTGTCTGCAAAAATCAATAAATTTGAAAAACATGAAATTTCTACAAAATTGAAAATTTTCTAATGTAATATTGAGGGAGTTCTTTAACAATTGAAACTATCCTTAAAATGTTATGGTTTAAGTCTTATGTGGTTTTTACTGTATGACCCAACATTCGTGTTTTTATCGGTTCATAAGTACATGAACAAGGAAGTTAAAAGGTTAAATGACATACATTTTGTAAACCTCAAACATTAATTAAATCAAATTAATTTTTATGCACCAAAACAAACAATATTATATATTAAAAACAATGAAAACTCTTGTCATTTATTTATGCAAATTGAAAAACAACCGACTCCACACCTATATTGGGCTTCATACAGGATGGATGATAAATGGACAATTTTTCAAAATGGCCTTTGGGCAACCTGAGGAAGCAGATGTGATGGACGAAACATCATAAATTCATATATTTCACTGTGTCCGATGACAGGAGCCTTTCCTAAATTAATTAATAATGAGGATGACATTATTTGTAGTTTTGAATAGTAATTATTTTTACGTGTTACAATGAGGCAGGTGAATAATCGTAGGTAATGCGGTACATATGGTCGTGAAGTAGTGATGTCATTTTATAAATGTATTTGCGGATGTTACGAATTTTTTGAAATTTTATAATTGTGGTGCAATCAATACAGGTTTGAATATTTTTCTTTTAAGAAACTTTTAAAACTGGAAATGTATAAAGCGAGATTTTTTTGTTTTTTTAATTTTTGGTGAAAATATTTTTTACCAAATGTTAAGCATCTATTCAAGGCCTCAAACTGTAGACATAATGTTGGATTTTAACACAGTAGTTCATGAATCAAATTTAAATCAACAAAAAATTCTTTTCTCATAAAAAATAAAACTTTTGAAATAGTTTAAGTAATTCAACTATAACATCTTTTTGAAACTTAATTTAAATTCTTTAAATATAGATAGACTGTTTTGTACCTATTTGGTTAAATAATTTCCTATTTATGAAATTAAATTTGCACATTTGAAGTTGAATCAAATTTTAAGATTAATAGTATTTTATGATTGAAATGGATGTAAGCATTTGAAATGAACTTTGTTTAAACCTTAAATAATTGTACCTAGCAAGAGATGCAAGCTATTATATCTGAAGAAAAAACCCCATTACGAAACGAAATGAAAATTACAGGATATCGATTTCAAATGTTGCTTGACTTCAACATTTTTAAAAGACAATTTGTTATTTTTGCAAATAATATTTTTTCGATTCACTACTTTAGTAAAAACATTAAAAATGTCATAACTTCAATATGATGGCACAGCATTTTCTAATGTTTTGAACAGCTTTTGTTGAAAAAAATATAATAAAAACCTCATTTATAAATTGCCTTTATACAACCATGAAATGAATCATTCAGAATTTCGGTGATTCAAATACATCATTATAAAATTTTATCATCTTTCTAAAGCAATCTTTGTTATTTTTTGCTTGCTTATGTGCATTTAAGAAAGCCACTGGCTAGTTTTACATGTAAGAGGCTTACGTCTTAAGACTTCAGCCCATGAAAGTCGCTTATCATCAAATTAATTCATAGTTTTGTGTCAGTGGTCAATGAAGTGCACAGTTTGAAACTTTGGATTTTCAGTTTTAAAAAATCAGCATTTATATCAGACATAACCTGAGGTGAGATTCAGCATTTAACTTGTATTTTGTGGACAATGCAGCTCTGCTGTCAAAAGGTTAATCTATGAAGATGATCAGCTTAACCAAAAAGCTTATGCTCAATGATTTTTAAATTGTTAGAAATATTAATCATTATTTAAAGATTTTCTTTAATAATTGCATATTCATTTTCAGATTGACCAGATGAAGAAGTAGCCTTACTCAGCAGAATAAAAAAAGAAGATGGGAACAATGAATGTTTTCGCTGCTGTTCTTTTTCTTCTCGTAGACTTCATTCACGGCTCAACGTTATCATTTTCAATTGAAGAAGAGAAAGCAATTGGTACAATCGTAGGTAACATTGCAGTAAACAGTGGACTTTCGTCTAATATGTCAGGTCAGGATTTTAATATGCTGGAATATAAAAGGGTTTCTACTAATAGTGAAAACAATGCCGATTTATTCAGCATTGTTGAAAATACAGGGGATATTAAAACCACAACTGTGATAGATCGTGAGGAAATCTGCAAGCTTAAACAAACTTGTGTAATCACATTTGATGTAGCAATTTCATCCCCATTTTCTAACTTTTTCGCATTGTACACTATTGAAATATCAATAATCGACAAAAATGACAACATTCCTACTTTCCCACAGAATTCGATTACTCTTGAAATCCATGAAGATGATAGTATTGGAACTTTATACTCATTGGATAGTGCACAAGATAAGGACATTGGTAAAAATTCCATACAAAGTTACGAAATTTCACCTTTAAACAGCACATTTGATTTGAACGTGGAGAGAAATTTAGATCAGAGTTTCATTTTGCGAGTTGAGCTGCGACAAAAATTAGATAGGGAAGTTGACGATTTTTATCAGTTTCATGTCACAGCCAAAGATGGCGGTTCTCCACCGAATATTGGAACGATGACTGTTGATGTGAAAGTCATTGATGCTAACGATAATAAACCAGAATTCCAGTCGGACTATAATATCTCCATCAAGGAAAATTTCAGTGTTGGTAATACTCTTTTACAGTTATTGGCTACTGATAAAGACATCGGTGAAAATGGAAGAGTCTTTTACCGCTTTAGCCCTCACCAATCTGATTTAGATAACATTCAACAAGTTTTTAGCTTGAATTCGGAAACAGGGAAAATAAATTTAAAGCAAGCTTTTGATTATGGACAGAAAAACTTGTATAAGTTTTATGTTGATGCTAGTGATCATGGAACTGATCCACAGTGGTCGCAGACCTTAGTCACGATTCGTGTAGAAGATGACGGAAACAACCCTCCTCACGTCACATTTAGTTACTTAGTGTCCAAGATCAACTCAAACACTGTGAACATTTCTGAAGCAGAAAAAGTTGGCAAAGCAATTGCAATCGTAAACGTTCAAGATTCCGATAGTGGTAAATCTGGGCAGGTGACATGTGTGATTAATAATGATAAGTTTGAACTGCAATCTTTGTCAGCAGGGAAGTATGCTGTTATTATCAAACAAATGTTGGATCGTGAAACAGCAGATACCCATACTATCACTGTCACATGTAATGACCAGGGAAATCCACCAATGACAACGCAGGAGAGTTTTACAGTGCAGCTTGCTGACGAGAATGATTGTACACCTATGTTTAATGTGAATTATGCATATTTTGCATCTATCTCTGAAAATAGTACATCAGGATCACTTGTAACGCAGGTAACTGCTTCAGATTGTGACGCTGGCCATAATTCTATTATACGTTACTTCTTGCATGCCGATGGTGTGAACAGTTTTGTCATCAATGATATCACAGGAATTATTAACACAAAGAAGGTTTTCGATCGTGAAATTAATCCACGATTGACATTTAGGGTTTTAGCTGTTGATTCAGGATCTCGTCCATTAACTGGGACAGCAACTGTAGTTGTTAATGTTACGGATGTAAATGACAATTCACCGACGTTTAATGTTACTGCATTCAATTTCCATGTTTTAGAAAACCAAGATGCAAAAACATTAGTTGGCAAACTGACTGCTTTCGATTTAGATGAAGGTGAAAATGCCAGATTGACATATTCTGTTGTTGGCAATAATGCAGACCTACCCTTTCATGTCTATCCTAATGGGACTATTGTGACCACACAAAAACTGAATCGTGAAGACAAAAGTGAATATAGATTTAGAATTGTTGTAAGTGACCATGGCATTGTTCCGAATGTAGCTCAAAGGGATGTAAGGATTATTGTTGCTGATGGCAACGATCATTACCCTGTCATCCATTTTCCAAATAGTAACAATAAAACACTTGCTATTGTTTACTTAGAATCTGTAGGCTCTGTCATAGCAACTGTAAATGCCACAGATGCTGATTCTGGAATAAATGCTGATCTGGCTTACTCCCTTGTAGCAGGCAACCAGTTGGGAATCTTTGACATCAATAAAAATGGGCAGATAATTCTGGCTAGTACTCATATGATAAAAGAGGATACAGTTTTTCCTGTTGTAATATCTGTCAAAGACAAGGGAGTTAATCCAAAGGAAACGACCCAGGATGTATTTATAGTTTTAATATATGCAAATATGGCTGCAGTTTCGCCAGTGAAAGATAACTCTGCTGGGAATAAATATGTTGTAATTTCTGCAGTAGTTGTGGCATTTACCGCTTTAGTGTCTGCAGTTATAATAGCGATTATAATCATTTTACGACGAAATGATAAAAAATTAGCTGAACAATCGAGAAGAGAAAAAATCAAACATGCAAATTCAAATGGTGATGTTTTTATGAATGGTACCGTGAGTTATGATCCAAACCATGGAGATCTTACACGCAAGAAGAAAAAAGAAGTCAGTTTCTCACTAGAAGATGACCTAGATAATGCTTTTGATGTTTCCAGTTTCCCTTATGATGATAGAGATGTAAGTCATACAATAAGTAGTTTAATAAAAGAACTATTTTAGAAAAATATTAAAAATTGATTAAAATTTACTTTCTGGAGAGAATTTACATTAAATTAACTATTGATTATTATATAGTTTTTTAATTTGATGGAAAAAAAATTGTTTTTGGCTAACTTTCAGAATAATCATTTGACTCTGTGATTTCAGTTGTTTAGGTATTCATCAAGCCTGTACTTTAAATTTAAACTTATTCTAACACACTTAATTTTGGGAGAAATTGATTTAAAAATCCCCCCTCCCCCACAAGAAACCTGAAGAGAAAAAAAGTTAAAACCATTATTGAAACAATTTTTGTTGTTTAATTTTATTTGTTTGTTTATGTTGATTGGGAATCTAAAATGTATCCAAGTATTGTATCACCTGTCAGATGTATTAATTGCAATTTCCCGCCAATTGAAAATAAGAAGAATTAAGGGGAACTTATCATCATCTTTTATTAAAAGGGTCAGAAATTACAAGATTATTATGTGAACTTTATACATTATAGTATAAACATTATATTGAAGATCAGATTATAATTCACTCCTATCTTATAACGTGTCATAGATGGGGATTAAAAAGATTGATCCGTCAAATCTATGTAACCTACAAAAAAGTTTGATTTATTAAATTATCGTTTTATCGAAAAGATTTTTCCAAGGGATTTGGTTTTTAGATACAAAGTGGAAACATTCAAATAAATTATCCCGATATAAGATAGACCTTTAAACTTTTGGTTCATGACATTTAGATAGGAGCGGACCTTTGGAACTTTGTAAAAATGTGGTTGGCACTTCTGTCATCGGAAATCGTCTGTGTACATAATCTTGATTGGAATTAAATGTAGTTAATGATCGGAGACAGATTGATTCAGCGATGGGTCCCTCTTTGATCACGACATAATGGACAAGTAGATTTAAATGGGTCATTGGATATATCTGAGCTTTGAAGATTTTCTGAAGATTTTTATCCAAATTTGTTTAATTCAAATTAAACACAATGTTTCGAATCGAATTTCTGAAAATTCGATACTTCTTTAAAAAGATTGTTAATTTGATAATTTGATGGTTAGTTCAAATGAGTAATTGTTTAAGAATTTTTAATAGGTACTTGAAAATAAAATAAATTTGAATTCTTATTCAGTTTAATGATGTGCCAATGTAAACAATGATCTTTTATTTGCAATTTAATATTTTTGTCTCCTATGTTCTTTACTTATCCTTTTAATTTGTAATTTGAGTGGTTTATTTTTATGAACTGGCTTAACACCTGATCTAGTGTGTGAAATAAGAAGAATTACTCTTGCTTTTTATTGCAATTTCAACCTCACATTTAGAAAATTTTGAATAGAAAATAAATAATAAATGTTAATCATCTCTGATAACAATAAAGATATGTGGACCTATGATTGCAAATGAGACAATTTTCCACAAGACACCAGTGGATGTAGATCTAAACATCTATAGGACAATGTTTGGCCTTCAACAATGAGAAAAATCCACATCCTGAATTATGAAACTCTTTTAATGTAATTTTCAACCTGTTTCATTTATATTTGACTTTTTTTGTCATTTCAACAATTACAAATGGCTTCTATGCAATTAAATTTCCTAGCAAAAATATTTATTCATGATGTTAAGCTTGTTGACAAATATTGACCAAAAATAAGATTTAGATTTAACTTGCTGTGTATGGGTACTGTCAATTTGTTGATCTAAGGAATTACAGCCACACAGAGCGCAAGGGTTTCTAAAATGAATGGGTGAATAAATTTGAAAATGAATGAAGAAATTAGGAATAGAAGTTTCATATGAAAAAATGTTATGATTGGGAGTTCGGTAACCATGACATTTTAATTTAATGATCAAGTTACTATTGGTTTATATAGAAATAGATCTTAATTGAAACAAATAGATGAACATTAGTTTCATTTATTAGTAAAGAATCATTTAGAAATAAAGAATGGTGATCTATTATGAAAAATCCAGAGAACTAAATTATTCATGAAATTTTAAAGGAAAATTAATGAAAATGTGATATTATTACATTAGACATATTATATGTAAACAAAAGAAATGAATATAAATTTCGATTTTATTGTTAATTGATAAGCTGATATGTTCCAATACACAACAGTAAGAAATCAACCACAAAAAATATGAATATCTAATATTTATGGAATATTTGTATGATTTACATCAAATTAGATTGACAAGCACACATAAATTTGTCAATTGTCATGCAATTGGTGACATTAATTGATATAATGATTGACATTTATTTTGTAAAATCTATAGAAGGTGGTGAACTTTTAGTACTTGTTGATTGGATTGATTTATGATTTGTTTTCGTCAGGAAATTGGAACAGTTCCTGGTTTTTGATAAAACTACAGGTTTATGATATGGTTAACAATCTTTTAATTTTTAAAATCATTATTTATGAAGCATTTAACAAATTGGATATAAAAAGCTGAAAAATGCTTTGTCATAATCGGCCCTTTGATTTTTTTAGGATTTGTTCTTTGGCATGAGCAATGATCATAAATGAGACTTGCCATTTCCAATGATAAGTATTACAAGATATTGTTTAAGATTTGAAGGCTTTATTGCCACATGTATGTGATTTTTAATGCAAATAATATATTGTTTTAAATTTGATAAGTGCCACGTACATTAGAGTAAATTAAATACAACTTAATACATTTATTTATTTATATATTTATTTATTTTATTTTTCAGCATAACTCCATGTCTAAATTTGAGAAACCCTCCAAGAACAACACTATGCAGTTCCAACAGTTTTTAATACAGCCAGATAAACAGGTACTATATTTATTCAATATAAATGTGGTGTGAGGGTGCAGGATGTCTGTCAGTCTGTCAGATGCTATCATCTACACATACACAGAAGTTGGTGTTTCTGCATCAGTCATGAAATGTTTTGATAATTTTTTTTTCTTTAAATCTGATGGTTCATCTCCATCAGACTTTAATCTGGTGTGCTTCTATATGAATAAAAAAGGCCAGTGTGATGTAGTATTTTGTCTCCAGTTCTGACAAAAATTTGACCGAAAAACATAAATTTGTTTCTTACATGTGACAGATATATCTTTTTATGGCTAAAAAAAAAACCAGACATACAAGTTAATGTATGCCAGGTTGTAAATAAATATACACAAATTTACATCAATGTTTAAGCACAAAACAACATAAGAAACCGGTCTTGAAATCAACATTTTCCTTTTTTTTTTTACACATTTGTATGTACTTGTTAAAAAAGGGATAACAAAATCTTGATTAAACAATTTGATAACAGCAAGCTTCATTACATATTCCACAAATTTCCATTAATAGACAGTTATTTTAAAATTCCTCATAGTTTATCTTCAGGACCTTTTTAATGGAATTCTAATTATCTCCCCTTTATTATGTATTAGTGTCAGCCAAATTGTATGTAACATTACACAATACATAGATGAAACAAAAATACTAAATATCTACAGGATATAGTGTATTATCAAGGGGTATAATTGACATTATATGTTTATGAATCAGTGACTTTGACCAGTGACAACATACAACCGGACCTACTACTAACAAACTTATCTTGTGTTGTCATCTGGTCAGTCCCTTTGTAGTCCGACCGTCATTAATGGTTTTGTTTGTCAGACCTTGTCCACCCAATCAACTGACCAGTGATGATGATGACCATGGAAATGTACATTTCAGCCAGGGGGGAAAAATGGACGCTTCATAGAAGATGACCATAGCCTATCTTTTGATTTATCAGATTGTGGGCTGTTTAAAATTCTGTTTGAACATATTTATTTTTACAGGTTAGGTGTTTTGGACACAATGGAGGTCCCTATAAAGCAGCACCCTATCTTACCCCTGTTCTTGATTCTCATGTAATGAACTGGACATAAAACTCTATTATGAGGGTTTAAATAACTGCTAAATATCGGGTACGGTACACCCGATTAGATAAATCACAACTTAATTGCAGATTTTTGTCGCATATCAAAATTCTGTGAAATTCCCAACCCATAGATCTGCATGTGACTGTCCAAATCTCACATATTTTAAGATTATTATTAAAAGCATATGAATTAAGCCTGTGACCTCTGAACTTCAGATGAGATAGCACTTATTTATAAGCCCTTAATATAGAACCATATTTAAAATTTGAAAATGATACACTGGGCACTGAAATCTTTTGATTGGACAGTTTGTACCAAATACTAATTTCAATGTCCACTGAATACAATATATAAGCTTAATAGAGCTATCAAAAATGCATAATAAAACCATCATGCAGTGACCAAGAAGACCATTATGGTCAGAAAAAATCACTTTTACCTGGCTAAAAAATATTTTCCATCTGACACCATTGTTTGACCTTTGTTTGGAGGAGATATAAAAATAATAATTGTCAGAAAAGAACAATGCCCCATCTGTCTTTTTAATTTTCTTCCATCTCATAAAATCTTAATAAATATTTGTGGTCCAGTGAAAGGAATGGTAAAAAAATCTGTTAATTTGGTCAGTTGGTTAACATGAAGAAGTTATAACAGACATGGTCTGTGTGGATGAAATAGACAATGAGAGATAGCAAAAAAAAATTTTTTTAAAATTCGTTCTATTTCTGCACTTGCAAGTTTATCAATTTGTTAAAAATTATTCTATTAAAAAAAAAAAACTGAAAGATTAAGCTAGCAATTAAAGAATGAATTTGATGTAAAAATACTCACTCAGTAAAAATTTGAAAAATGCATTTTTTATAGCAACTAGGTACATAACATGTTCACAGCTTAATCCTCTTATAGCAAAATGTTTGCATTTAAAAGAAGTGCATATACATTCATTATCAAACAGTACCTCTTCTCAATCATGCTACATAATGCTGGGGACTGTATTAAGTTTCATGTAGCAAATCATGTATTTTTATATAAATTATAAACAAATATCATTAAAAAAAAGTCAGTTCTGACAATTATTGTATTAATTTTTTTTTCAGATAAAAAGTTTACAGAAATCACATGATACAGGCAGTGATACATCGGCAGAAACGATTGGTAGTGATAGTGGTCGTGGAGGGAGTGAATCAGAATTGCCAAATAGTGCTAATAATCCAGGTAATTAAAAAAAAATCATCTTAGAAAAAAGGTTTTTTTTACAGACAGGTCTTAACTTTTCAAACATAAAATGAAATAAAGATTATACTGGATAAAATAACAAAAATAAACTGGGTTTTCCTCATTGTCGAAGGCTGTACTGTGACCTATAGTTGTTAATTTCTGTGTCATTTGGTCTCTTTGGGAGAGTTGTCTCATCAGCAATCATACCACATCTTCATTATTTTTATATATATATATATGTTCTGTTATATGTAACTTTTCTCATAAGCATTGATCTAAAAATGTATACATTTGATTTGCATCATCACACAACACACATTTCCGGAATATAAGGGATGCTTGTGACAAAAATGAGAGCATGATATAGTACCTTCAACACAAAACCAACCTGTATTATTTAAACACTATATCATAAAAAATAAACAATTTACTTGGTTGTTTTAGAAATCTTATGAATCATGTTTCATCCTGAAATGCATGAAATGTTTGCCACTGGACCTTTAGGAACCAAAAATGGGTCATCAAGTTTTGAATTATATTGGTGTATAGTGATTATATTGTATTTTAATAGTAATTTTTTGTATTTTTATTTCAGATGACAGTAGAGCATTTGGATACAACAATAGAGATTTTCACAAATGTTCAAGTCCATTTGACAATCAAGGACGTTTAAATCGTCCGTTCTCAGACAATTATTCAAATAGTGCTAAAAGTAGTGGTGGCTTGACCCCAAGAGAAACATTTGAACGCAAACACAAATTGAATTCCTCTACACGAAGAGACAATAACCAGCTACCAGACAGACCACAATCAGATGAGTGGTCACCGTCGTACGTGTAGCAAATCAAACCTATGCAATCAAACATTGTACATTAAATGTGTTCAGAACAAAGCTTTAAAAGAAACCGTCCAGCCACAACTGTGCCATGTATATTTTGAGGAGGAATTTTACAGCATTATATCTTCTGACAGCACTTGTTCGTTATCATATGGGATTAGATTCCACTTGATGATCTCAGTGTTCTTGGTAAGTTTGAATAATTGTACTTTACAGTAGCATATCTTCTGTTAGATTATATCAAATGGGAAGCTTTAAAAAGTTCAATATACTTTTTTGTAATAATGGACTATCCATTCCATATATTATTAGTTGAAGTGAAACACTTAGATATAATTTCTAGTGTGGAATAGATTCTTTAAACAAAATTTCAGTTTAAATAGAGATGCCTGTAAGATGCTAATCTGAAAACAAGAAAACATATAATAGGAAAATTATTAAATTACAAAATATTGATTCTAGATATCTATTTTTTTTTTTAATTGTTGCTGTCTGTTTGACATGCATCCTTTCAGCTTTTTTTATTTATTTATATTTTATTATTAATGGATTCTCTACCCTTTATGTTTTCAGGTTCGAAGTCAAGAATACATAGAAGACCAAAAACTAGTCATCCCTGCTGAAGAAGATGTTTTTATGTTTTATTTATATATTTGTTGACTTTTTATATATGTTTTTAAATCACTGCTATCATGTAGCATAATTTGTTAGACAGCTCTATTGTAAACTCTTAATTTTACTTTATTTCTTACTAATGTAAGCAATGCTTCATGCAGTGGAAAACTTTGATAATAGTCATCTTAATACAATGTTATTAATACAACTGCTGTTTTATTTTACTTTTAATTTTTTATGGTTTTTTTATGCATCCATATTTTTATACAATTTTTCAAATTGGAATTTATTTAATTTATACTTGTAGAATAATTTGACTATGAAATTTCTTAAACTATTAAATTGATCAGAAAAGTTAAATGAAAGATTAAACAATATAATAAATGAATTTTATAATTATTAAAAGAAATCTTTTCATTGTTTATTTTCTAAGGAAAATTGCATTTGATAAAAATTTAAATATGATTGTTTAGAGAGAAAAAAATCAAGACAAACATTTGATAATTTATATCAAATAAGCATTTTGGAATGAATTCAATCGTTCTTCCTTTGAAATCTATTGTCTTCCATTTTACATGTAATTAAAAACTGCTGTTCATGTACATAAAATATTAAAAATGATGAAATCCAGTGGCTCTTTTCACCAAAAAATGGTTATAAGATATACCCAAATTTTTACTTGGAAGATTCTTTGTGAAGAGGGTCACAGTTGTTTAATTATGACACAAATGTTTGATATTATGAATCTCATTATATTTTAAATAAGAAAAGTTACATATTTTCATGTGATATTGTACCTTGCATTTATAACATAGACATTGTTGTCTGTATAGTAAATTGCAATTTGTTTAAGTCTGTACAGTTATTTGAGAATTAACTGTATAGTTAGTTTTGCTCAACATATGATACTGTACACCACTATGATTTAAAATGGTTTTCTGTTTACAAATAATGCAGTCACATATTTTAGCCTCTAAAAAAATTGAAATGATAAATTTTCAAAACCTTTTGACTATTTATACTAATTATTCAAAAATTCTTTATTTCTAGAATTTGTAAAAACAAAAAAAATATGTCAGAATTTAAAATTGAATGATCTCCTTTAATCAAATGCTCAATTGAACATTTTGTTTATAAAGTGAATAGGATATTTAGAAAATTTCATTTTAGACTTGAAAAACAAAATGACAGCTGGGTAGTCTTTTACACATGATATTTGTTGTAGCTTTAACAGTCCATTAATAAGCATGCTGATGGATGAATTTCTGATTATATGTGTATAAATACTTTTGTTTAAACATGGTGCTATAAGTTCTTTTTGTAAGCTTTAAAAAAGGTGCTAAATGACTTTATTTGTTTCCTTGACAAATTTTAGAACATTCCCTTTTGTTATAGAACCAATTTTTAAAATCCTGCATTTAAATAAACATTTCCTTAGTCTTTTTTTTTTTTGAAAAATGACCAAAAAAAATGTATCTGTGTTATAAATGATTAATTGTTAACATCAATGGTCTAATAATGATACATTTGTTTTAATACTGATAAGCATGTACATGATGATCTACAAAGAATGATGTATTTATTTTGTTGTATGAAATAAATAAAAGAGATGTTATTTTTTCACAAAAATAAAACATGAAATAACTATAACCTGTGTTATCTTTATATATGTAAAATAAAATGAGACAGCAACCCAAAAATACAAAAAAAAACTTGAAGGTTAACATGCAAAATTCAACCGTCTCTAGTGACTTGGGACTTATATATTTATCTGTTAGTCCCAGGTAATGACAAATGAAATTTTATAATTTTATTCTGTCATTAATTTGTTGCAACGAACCGACATGATTTCCTAGTAAAATAAAACATAAAAATATTAAAATTTGCATGTACAACAAACCCTGTATCTTCCCTCCTCTTGCTGTCATACAACATAAGGTGTTGTCAAGACATTGTCAATGAAGTTGTATCAGAATGAACATATTGAAAAAGATATAGTTCCCTTTTGTTTTTCCACTTATTTACAATAAAAACAAAGAATTGAAAACAAAACGAATTATCCAAGAATTCAAATATAAAAAGATATTCAACTCAAGCCCTTACATCACTAATAATTCACTCATGAACTATATACATTTATGAATGTTAAAAAAAGATGTAGAAGATATCAAAGTGACAATCAAAATTCAACAGTCAAAGATGAACCGACAAAACCATGACAAAATACAAAAAAAATAAATTAAAAGACAAGTCTCCATAACAGTACAGAGAAAAAGACTGAGACAATTTTGTGTCAAAATAAGGACCTCTAAATTCTTATTCTAAGGCATCCCCTCTTGCATCAAATCCTAGATTTGTGCTTGAATCTATGGAAATTAATGATGAGTCCATCAAAATGTTCCAGCAAGACCAAAAACTGTTGATGATATAACTCTAAGGGTTGAATTCTTTTAGAATCTCCTCCATAATTTTTCAGCATCCTATTAAAAGATAGTAAGAGTTGCTATCAGAAATGTTTTCTTCGGGGATGCCTTTAAACCAAAATTAAGTATATAGGTATAAATGTGAATGATTGTGGCATTCCAACAAAATTGCTACTGAATGCCATAGATATTGTACTACTAAATGTTTGATATTAGCAAACTGTGATAAACTATGTTTATACTTTAGTAGTAAATTGAAATTTAAGAAATAATTACAGTAGGAAATATTTATGTATATTCATGGTAAAAATGAAAAGTAGGGTCTTCACTTGTTAAAATCTGGGGTAAACAGAATGCCATGAGTTTACTCAATCTATTATATATACAGAATCTAATACAAAAATTCACCAAAATTGACTTAATGAAAATGTCACATCATTGGTGGATTTTCTATTATCAAGGACGTATCAAAACCTTTTCAGAATGCAATAGATTCTGATCAGTGAAATTCTGCATCATCAGACGATGTCATTAAATACATTTATGACGTTTTTGTTTATTGAATTGAATATTTTGGTGAAACATAACACAAAACTGAAAATGGGACATCATATTACAATATAAAAAACTATAATCGGTAACTCAAAGATTTCTAAAGTTTGACGAATAGAGCGGATCTATACCAAATTAATACTCTAAATATTGTACTTGTGTCTCGGTCCCCTTTAGCAAGGACGTGCGTATATATTAGTTTTACGTCCTTACTTATAGAAATCAAATGGTAATTTTTTTTTATAGATGTCAACATTAGAAATTGTGACTTTTCAGCTCCATTTATTGTATTTACTTGAGTCTTGAGATCAAACTTTCATTACTGGAATAAATTTACGGTGGGAACATAGTAATATCAGAGACACATGTATTGTAGTTACTGGTTACAGGCCTTCAAAGATGAAAGATGAAAGATGAAAGAAGAAGATGGTAGTATAAAGGAAAACGAAATACATCATTATGTGTAAGGGGACAACAATTAGATTTTCCGGCGGGGGAGGTGGATTTTGAAAATGAATATCCTAGCCAGTGTCGGGTAAACGCACGAAGACCAGCCACATTAAGCAAGATATAAATCAATTTTTTCTTCTTATCGAGTTCTGGGATAGACCTTAGACTACTATAGTAGATGGACACAAGTTCATAATATGTATAGTTATACTGCAACTATGCATATTCCTCGGCATATTCATTTGTGATATTCAGTTACTGACCGTATATCGCCTTGTTTGGTCTTGTTTGTGACTCTTATTTCATGGTTATACTATCGTACGTTTGTGACGTTAATATCCCGTTTCCGTAGTTTCATTTTTGACGTTAAAAAGGCTACATGTTGGCAGAATTTCCACAACGTCCGTTTTAATTCAAAATTGATGTTTTTGACCCAAAATGTTTCATTTGGAACATTTGTATGAGTTGCGGTATAAAGAGAACAACCGTAGATTGTCTCTAAATATAGATTGAATCTGTACTTGGATCGAAACAGGATAGAAATTCTCGACAAAGCCTCTCATTCTACCTGTTTCTATGCCTTGTTCAAATAGATTTTATATTTTGAGACAAAGTATAGTTATTCTATAATATGTCATATGAGCGATACAGTCGATTTCGAGCCTCTTTAGTTATATAGGGGGTGTAACTTGAGATATCAGTCTTTAAATTTCCGGCATTAGTTTTTAAATTGAAAGTTCGATTTCTAACAATTGAATCATCAACTGATGCCGGCAAATCCCTTGATTTAAGACTGACACCATGCAGTGTATAATATTTCTTCAGCATACTATATGCATTATATTCGCATTTTATTCATTTGTAGATTCGCGATAGAGATAAAAATCACTTTTTGACCTAATCTGAGACTACTATAACATTCTAGTAGTCTCAAACCTAATTAATTTGACGTAAACCTAATACCACGACTATGACTTTATATAACACTGAGATTACTATGTGTTAAAATAGTATAATTATAAAATAAAAACTATCAACCAGAGACCAAAAAAGGGAAAACGGTACTATTTATTCTGCCATAGGCGACAATACTAACATTTTCTAAATTTACCACTTTTTATAATAAAAACCGGGATAAAACAGTTATGTGTAGTGTTAGTACTTTATTATTCTGTTTTAAAAATTGAAGCCAAATAGTATCATGACCAACTTCCAGCGGAGCTTGTTAATGTTATCCATGCACACCGTCATTTTACACCAAATTTATGAAATTTTTGAAGTCTTTTCGAATAATTCTCTAGAAAATATTTCAATAGGTTTCAAAATTTATATTGTAAATATACACCCTGCAGTTATTCATAGATAAATAAAAAAAAAATATATTGTACCCTAACATCCAATCACAGCGCTCCAAAGTTGACTTCCTTCACCTGCCTTGGGTACACAAAAGGCCAACCTAATGCTGGGAAAATGTAATAGTACCGTTTTCCCTAAAATGGATGTAAGCAACTGCAGGTCACCATACGGCCTTCATGTTCCGTTTCTGTTAGTCGTCTTCTCCAAAAATTACATATGGGTAAATGCTATATATTTGTGAGCCGTTATATAGACAGAGGTTGCGAGGTGCGATGGACTAGATTCTCTCTCTTCATACAATAGAGTTATTTTAAGTACTAGTAAACACATTAAAATTCGTTCACTGTGCATTTATTTCGTATGCTTTATAATGTGAAATAATACACATTTAATGGTATGATCTATTTCAACACTTATTATTACGTATCCATTAAGATTACTTTTAAAACATAAACTTGACATTTCATACTTTATACAAAGAGCGGACGTAAGAGAAAACGCTTGATTTGGAGCAGCTGGTGACGAATTTCACGAAATATGAATTAGTTGAGTAATTGATTGCTGTTTGTGCTCCACGTTTGATGGCAACTATTTCACACCTCTTCAGAACGAAATAACAATAAATCCGTAAATATATATAGGTCCTGTAAAGTTGGTCGACTGGGATGAAGGTCGGAAAAGGGGGTATATTTGATAGCCAAAAGCACTTTTCCTCGCAACAGTTACGGTTTGTTTAAGTGTATAGTGGCAGTCCTACACGAGGTTTTGGTTTTTCACGTCCCAATGCTAACCTGCTGTGGCTGCGTATTGTATACATCCCGATCAGCTAAACTGGTCCGCCATTCCATCTAAAGCTTCGCACCGAACGATAAGTGAACACAACAGGGGTCCAGTTTACCCGATCAGCCAAACCGACACCCCCGCTCGTTGTCCTGGGGTTTTACTGCCGGATGGGAGCATGACAATATGTCTGTACCTAGGTCAATTTTGCAAGCCTTGATTTGACTTGATAAATTGAGAGAACGCCTGATTTTTAAGAAAAAATATATAATCCGATAACTCAGTAAACTTTTAGATGATTCCTTGCCGAGGTAAATCAAACGCAGTTTCAGCCTTACAGATATTCCCAAAACTTGCACTTAAAATAATCTTCTGAAACATCTTTAATAGGTTTCTTTTGTAGAACTTTCACATAACAATTTGTTTTGTATCATACAAATCGAGTTATAATGTTTAAAACGATATTTAAATATGCTAACAAACTTGAAATACGATGCGGAAAATTACTACATTATAAAAACATAACATTTCTTGCATGAAAAAAGTTCAAAGTTGAATAGTACTATTAAGTGTATACATTAAACCTCCCATATAGAATCAAAACATTTTAATCTTGAAAGATGAAAGGTTTAAGTAATTTCTAAATTAAGCAGCCTCTGAGTATATTTAATCATTTCAACATGTTTAATGTAGATAAATAATGATGATTTGAAATCTGGTCTTTTAATACAAGTCTATATATAAATATTGTTTGCCAATAAAAGACCATCATCGAAGGAATGCAATTATTTTTGTCGTCGGGTAGCTGTCCCATTGATGTAAACACACATTTCCGTTTATTGGTCAAGATACGTGTGAAAGTTGACTGTTTTCGTATATTCTACTAATACACATGAATCTTCAGTGGCATTTCACTCAATAAAAAAAAAATATATATAACGGACAGAATACATCCTGCTAGTATGTTGGTAAGCTATGAATTTCAAGTAAAACGAAGAACCTCTAGCTATGAAGGTAAATCAGGGAGCGCGTCGGACGCGCCAAATTTATAAGCTTTCATTTTCAATTCCTGCACTGGTTCGATACCGC